CCAGGGAAGCAGAACACACCGTTTGCTAAGCGCCCAGGCATGGCCACAGACGCGGCAAAGGCGGAGAGGGGAAGGCCTGCCACGTGGCAGAAGGACCTTTTTGCGGGAGGTGACGCACATCCTGCTAAAGTCGAGCCAGTGGGAATGCCGCAGCACCTTGGTCATGCGGAGATGCACGCGGCGGAGAGAGCACAGGACCATAGGCCCAGAGCTGATGGGCCGCCCGCGTCTGAAGGTATCCAGCGGCAGGTGACGCAGCCCAAGCCGGAGGTTAAGGCGGAGAGTGTCTTGGCACCGCTTGGTGGAAGTAGGGATGGTCCTGACCGGATGGATGTTGTCCCGAGCCAGCAGACTGAACCGCCGGAGCCCCCAGCGAATGGGCAGGTCACGGAAGCGAAGCGTATGGCCCAGACTGAGCAGGACAAGCCTGCGCAGGCGAGGAATGGGAATCGACAACCGCTGCCTGCGCTGCCTGCTGAACCGCAGGACGGGCTGGAGCGCCGCCCGCTCAAGGTCGAGGATGCATTGGCCTATTTGGAAAAGGTCAAGACACAGTTTAAGGAGCAGGTCGATGTGTACAACCAGTTCTTGGACATCATGAAGGAGTTTAAGGCCCAGTCCATCGATACCACCGAAGTGATTAGACGTGTTTCAAATCTGTTTAGAGGGCACATGGACTTGATTCTTGGCTTCAACACCTTTTTGCCACCGGGATACAAGATCAAGGTCACGAAGGATAAGGCCACTGGAGTCGTCAACACCGGCTTTGATGGCCCTGAAGGATTTAGTCAACTTCCTACGTTCCTCTCAGGGAGCATAGCGGCGCCGTCTCCGATTGCCGGTGGAAGGAATGGTAACGCTGTCTCAAGCCCGAAGCGAAAGGATTCTAAATCAAAATCATCGGCGAAATTGCAGACCTCCCGATCAGGCCAGGCTGTACCAGGGCAGGCCATTGACCCGATGGACAAAGATGCCAGTGGTGGGGCTCCCGTGGCGGCAAGAGGCTCGGCACCGGCAAAGACTGCGTCCGTCAGCCGTCAGAATGGTGCCAATGGCTTGCACGCGGATGCAAGTGCCTTGCAGCAAGAGGCCACAACGCAAGCGCACCTGCTTCAAGCCGAGAGGTCGTTTTCTCCGGGTCCTGAGAAAGCGCAAGAGTTTGACCGCGCCATTGAGTTTGTTACCACCATCAAAGAGCGGTTCTCTGATGATCCCGACACGTTCAACAAGTTTTTGAATGCCCTTAGTCGGTTTCGGGACAAGCAGACGTCGATTCGTGAAGTCTTTGACGTTGTCGCATGCTTGTTTGGCCCTCACAAGGATTTATTACTCAAGTTTCAAGAGTTTTTGCCTGCTATCTCTCGAGGTTCTTTGGACAAGCCGATGCGGAGTCGACCTCCGACCACCCCGCTCGACCGTGCATATTCTGGGAAAACGGCCACAGGTCCGTCGAGAAGAGGCCCCGGCGGTCTGTCTCGGAACCGGCGACCTCGCGACATGCAATTTTTCGAAGATCTCAAAGCGAGCCTTGGTCTGGGCAAATCGGATGTATACATAGACTTTATCAAATGCCTAAGCTTATTCACTCAAAAGATTGTGACGAAAGATGAGTTGCAAAGTTTAACTGCCGGCATCTTACAAGACTATCCACACGCAAACGCCCTGTTTTTGCAATATCTCGAAGCCATCTGCGGCAGTGGAGATGAAACAACGGATGAGGGAAATCAGGCTTCCTCCTCTGTTTCATCTGAGGAGGCGCCTACGCCGCTGGATGCGGCACGGCATGCTCGTTATCTGAAGAAGACGGTGTCTGAAACTGGCGGCGAGTTTGGCGTCGAAAAACTTGTTTCATACAGCAAGCTACCACCTGATTTCCCAGCGTTCCCATGTGCCGGGCGATCAGTGATGGAAAGGAGGACGCTGAACGATGCATGGGTGAGTGGAACATCCGGCTCTGAAGATTATTCGTTCAAGTTTATGCGAAAGAATCAAAACGAGGATAACCTCTTCCGTTGCGAAGATGATAGGTATGAATTGGACATGGTAATAGCCACGAATGCGTCGACTATTCAAAAGCTGCAGACTATAGTGGGATCAATGTCTCGGTTGCCACAAGCCGAGAAGAAGCGGCATCAACTTGCAGAGGGAGCACTCTCGCCCATCAACTTCAGTGCTATTCAGCGCATTTACGGAGAAAAGGGCGCCGAAGTAGTCGAAGAAGTGAAGCTGAATCCTGCGCAGGCGGCGCCGTTTGTCGTTGAACGTCTTCGCAGCAAGAATACAGAATGGATTCGCGCTCGACATGAAATGAACCGAGCATGGCGTGAGGTCGGTGAACGAAACTATCACAGAAGCTTGGATCATAGAAGTGTTCATTTTAAGCATGTGGACAAGAAGGAGCTTAGCACGAAAAATTTACTCGCCGATCTGTTGGAACCCACTACTAGTTTGCAAGCACGTGACGCGGAAATGACTAAAGCTCGTGGGTACCCAGTACCGCACGGCGGTGGGGGAGCGAATGACCGGAGTCTGGCGTTCAAGGCAGTGAAAGAAGCGGCACAGCGGGTTTCACGTCTAGAACCGCCTCATCTCGATCTGTGTTTTGAAGAGTGCCGTATCCACAGATTGGCTTTTGATGTAGTACGCGATCGAATTGAAAGTGAAACGTCGTCTTCGTCAGAGGCCAAGCGCATAGTCGGTGAATTCCAGAGGCTGCTGTCGCGCTTTTTCAGATTAGATTTCACAGACGATGGTTGCAAGCGGGCTGAGAGAGATTTCTGCCGTCGTCGCGGCGAGAAACATGACGGGTGTAACAGCGCGGAAAGGGAGTCGAACATGGTCGAGGAGGAGGCAATGGTGATGTACGGGGACGACAGCTTGTACCTGATGTTTCGGATGTATCATTTGCTCTTTGAGCGACTGATGGAAGGATTGAAATTGGCGCGGAAACAGATTGCGGACAGAACGAAACGCGAATCAATGAACAAGGCTGGTGCTGCGAGAGTGGGTGGACGAAGCCACATTCCAACGCTCTTGACGTCTCCGGCATCGCTGATTATGAACTTTCCGTCTGCTCAGGAGAAGGAGCATTCGTTTTGCGTTGGGCCTCAGCACGCGACAGCTGACGAAATTTTTGAAGAGTGGCTCGAGCCCCTGAGACAATTTCTGAGTACGAACAAAGCGGACGTTGTAAATAGGTACGAAGAAAAATGTCGGGTGCTGCTCGGGGCTGGGTCGTACTGCTTGCTGACGCTTGACAAGACAGTGGCTAAGACTTCGAAACAAGTGGGGTCAGCACTGAGCGGAGACGCAGTTGCGGAGTATGGGACAGTTTGGATGTTCCACGCACTGGCGGACCGGATAAAGGAATCGACGCAGAACTGCGCGAAACTGAGCTGGAGTTGCATGGAAAAGCAATACGCTGCATGCGCTGTGGCACAAATAGGGAAAACGCGGGGATCTGGTGCGAACATGATGCGGTTTACGAGCCACTACCGGGACGAGCAAATGAACGAATTTGTGATCTACGCGGTGGGCCACACAAACGACGAGGTGGCTGGCAAGAGCAAGACGCAAACGGCTAGTGTGGACTTGAAGGAATTGTACAAAACTTGCACAGACATGCTGGAGGAAAATATGGCGCAAGCTAAGGAGAGCGGAGATGGGGAATGGCGACAAAGAGGGGATTCTACAAGCTTACGGAAGCGCAGTCGCGTAAGCGACGACAGTTTTGTGCGGTTTGCAGGCAGCGAAAAACAAGTGCGCAAACGGGCAAAGGGGATGAAGCTACGACGCGGCGGGGATGTAATCTGGAAGGCGACGGCCAAGAAGCGAATCAAAGCTGTGGAAGGGACGTGCGACTACATGGAGAATGTGAACCGCAAGCGAAAGCTATGGAGCAATACGGCCGACGCGAAGGAGGTGAATGAGCAATGCGTGTGGGGGCGAGTCGTGCGGAGAAAGCGGTTGGCCAAGGAGAAGGAGGAGAAGGAGATTGAGGAACGGGAAAAGGAGGAGGAGAAGGAGAAGGAGAATGCGAGTGTGGCCAAGGCATCGGGAGCGGGGATCGCAGAGAGTAGTGGAGATAAGGAAGCAGGCGAGGTAGCGGAAAAGGACAAGATGAGTGACTCGTAGATGTGATCGTGAGGGGGGACTGGTGCGCTGTAGAATGTAAATATGGGTAGCAGGACTGGAGAGGTGACGACCGGGGCATGAGGCAGAACTCAATGGATTGGATGAAACAAAATGCGCGTTGAGCTGCTCATACAGAGCTCGCGACTCACATTCTAATTCTGCATTAATTTCTAACACCCCCCGTGCTTTGTGAGCACACTCGTCGTCTATCCAAATCTACTAAACTTTTCAATACACCCCCTTCGCCGTTTTCCCTTCTCGCCATCTTTGATCTCAATAGATCTCGGGAACGAATTGCTCCCTCTGCCCCTCCCCCTCCCCCTCCTCCTCTCCCTCCCCCTCTCCCTCCTCCTCATTGCCCATCCCACCATGTCCTGCCGTGAGTGTCTCACCTTCGTCGCTCAGAGCGCCTTTCCCCGAACCGCGCTCTCGCGCTCTTTCCTCCCCCCCCTCTCCTGGACGGGCTCGCCAAGCCGCCGCCTCTTCACTACCCCCCCGCGGCGCTCCACGCGCTTCCACCGCCTCACTACCTCCGCCTCCGCCTCGCCCTCCGAAGAATCCCCGAACGCCTACGACTTCCGCGCCTTCGAGCCGAAATGGCAGGCCATCTGGGCCTCCCGCCGCGACTTTGCCACCCCGAACCTGCCGCAGCTCGACGTCTCCAAGCCCAAGTACTACGCGCTGGACATGTTCCCGTACCCGTCCGGCGCGGGCCTGCACGTGGGCCACCCGGAGGGTTACACGGCCACCGACATACTCTCGCGCTTCCGCCGCAAGCACGGCTACAACGTCCTGCACCCCATGGGCTGGGACGCCTTCGGCCTGCCGGCCGAGCAGTACGCCCTGCAGACCGGCACCCACCCCGCAGTCACCACCGACCGCAACATCGCCATGTTCCGCACCCAGCTGCAGGCCCTGGGCTTCGCCTACGACTGGGAGAGGGAGGTCCGCACCACCGACCCGGCCTACTATCGCTGGACACAGTGGATCTTCTTGAAGTTGTGGGAAAAGGGGCTCGCCTATCAGGATGATAAGCCCGTCAACTGGTGCCCGGCCTTGGGCACTGTGCTCGCGAACGAGGAGGTCATCGACGGCCTCTCGGAGCGCGGCGGCCATCCGGTCGAGAGGCGCCAGATGAAGCAGTGGGTCCTCCGCATTACGGCCTACGCCGACCGATTGTTGGACGATCTGCACCTGCTGGACTGGCCTGAGAGCGTCAAGGACATGCAGCGCAACTGGATCGGCAAAAGCGTCGGCGCGGAGCTGAGCTTTGACGTCGAGGGCGGCACGCGCTCCATTGCGGTGTATACCACCAGGCCGGAGACTGTTTGCGGCGTGTCGTATGTCGTGATCGCGCCGGAGTGGGACGGCGTGCTCCCGCTGTGTACGGAGGCGCAGCGGGAAGAGGTTGAGGCTTATATTAAGGCCGCCGCCATGAAGAGCGACCGCGAGAGGACTGGGGAAGGCGCCGCTAGGGAGAAGACCGGCGTGTGGACGGGCGAGTATGCCGTCAACCCAGTTAACGGCGAGCGAGTCCAGGTGTGGGTGGCGGATTACGTGCTTGCCAGTTATGGCACCGGCGCTGTGATGTCCGTCCCGGCCCACGACGCGCGCGATTTTGAGTTTGCCAAGACGTACAGATTGCCGGTTAAGCAGGTTATTGCGGGCGACGTGTCGGAGGCGGCACATACGGGGGATGGCGAGATTGTGAATTGGGGGAACGCTGGCGGGATTAGCTTGGATGGCATGATGGCGTCGAAGGGTAAGGAAAAGCTGATGGAGCACTTGGAGAGGGAGGGTATCGGGAAGAAGCGGGTGAATTACAAGCTTAGGGACTGGCTGTTTTCGAGGCAGCGGTATTGGGGAGAGCCGTTTCCGATCATTTTTGTTGACGGGGAGCCCAAGGCTGTGCCAGAGTCGGAGCTGCCGGTCACGCTGCCGGAAGTAGATTCGTATCAGCCGTCAGGAACAGGGGAGTCTCCGCTGGCGACGGTTGAGAGCTGGGTGAACACGACGGATCCAGAGACAGGGGCACCGGCTCTTAGGGAGACCAACACAATGCCGCAGTGGGCAGGCTCGTGCTGGTATTACTTGCGTTTTATTGACCCTGATAATGTTGGCAAGCCGATCGATCCGGAGCTGGAAAAGTATTGGATGCCGGTTGATATGTATATCGGAGGTGTGGAACATGCGGTTTTGCACCTACTTTATTCGCGGTTCTGGCACAAAGTTTTGTATGATGTTGGCGTTGTTTCGACGAAGGAGCCGTTTCAACGGCTCGTGAACCAGGGAATGATCCTCGGCGAAGTGGAATATACGGGCTTCAAGAACTCGGAAGGTGGATGGGTTTCTGTGAAAGATGTGGATACTGCCGCGAATGTTGTCTCAAAGACGGGTGAGCGAGTGACACCTATGAAGGTAGACGCGGTTGACTTGGTCAAGAAGGGTGAGTTCATGGCACTGAAGGATGATAACAAGATTCGTGTTATGTCAAGGGCTCACAAGATGTCCAAGAGTCGCGGGAATGTGGTGAACCCTGACGAGATTATCGAGATGTACGGGGCTGATGCGTTGCGGTGCTATCTTATGTACATGGGGCCGTTGGAGCAGGTGAAGCCGTGGGGAACAAAGGGAGTGCAAGGGATGTCGAGGTTTTTGGGGAGAGCGTGGCGGTTGGTGGTGGACCGAACTACTAACGAATTGTGCGATGCACTGACTGATGGAAAGTCAAGCGCCGAACAGAACAAAGTTTTGCACCAGACGATCAAGAAAGTGACTGAGGACGTGGAGGAGCTGCGATTCAACACCGCAATTGCTGGCTTGATTGAATACGTGAACGCTGCGACGAAGTGGAAAGTGCGGCCAAGAGAAAACGTGAAGCCGTTTTTGTCAATGCTCAACGTATTTGCGCCGCACCTGTCGGAGGAGTTGTGGAGTCGGATAGGGGAAACGTCGGCACTAGCTAACGAGGCATGGCCGGTTTACAAGGCGGAATTTGACGTGGAGGACAACAAAATGATTGTGGTGCAGATTAATGGCAAAGTTCGAAGCAAGATGGAAGTGCCTTGCTCTGCGACCAAGGAAGACATACTGACGCGGGCACTGGACATGGACAGCATCCAAAAGTATCTGTCCAGCGGGACTATCAAGAAGCAAATCTACGTCCCGGACAAGTTGGTGAATCTTGTCGTGGTGGCGCAGTGATTTTCCGAAAAAGGAGCGATTGCGATTTACAAAATTGGGATCCCCTGTCCGCCTCCTTGCCCACTATGTACACCGGAGCGAGGCTATATATATTCTATGAAGACACTTGGAAGACCTTATTGAAGCCGTTGCTTAGACGTCGACGGAGTAACCGGGCTTCCGGGCCCCTCTTCCCGACACCTCTTCCCCAAGACCCCATGCGCCATACCGATGCGATCAATTCTCCTCTCCTTCCACCTCCGTAGCGCGATATCCAGTCCATGCGCCGCAAAGAACAGCTTCCGCTCCTTCTCCTCGAGCCCCTCCAGCGCTGCGACGCCCCTAGCGCCCGCAAACACGGCCGAATCAACGATGCCCCAACAGCGGTCCGCAAACGCTCTGACGAGTGCCTCGCTTAGCCTCGAGTCCCTAACGAGCTTCGCGATCCTGAGGCCGAGGGCGTAGAAGGCTGGGCAGCGCGTCTGCAGGCGCACGGCGCGCGCGTCGGCGCGCAGCGCGTGGCGCGCACCCGTGGCGAAGCAGCGCGGCAGCTCGAGCGCCGCCACGCCGCGCTGCGCGAGCGAGTCCGCCAGCCAAAAGGGAAGCGCGAGACGGTGCCCGGACGGCAGGTCCAGCCGGTCCTCCGCGGACGACTGCTTGTTCGACGACCACACCGCAGCTGCCCCTGCGGGGTCCAGATGCGCTAGCTGGTGCGCCTGCACGTGGAAGGTCGCGTAAATGCGCGGCTCGGAGGAGAGGATGTCGTCGATGGAGAAGTAGTCTTCCATTGTGGATTGAGTGGAGGGGGCGGGGGGAGGGCGGGGGGTGGTAAGTTAGAGTGAGGGCGGGAGCAATTGAGGGCGGGGGCGGTTGGGGAAAGGTGGAGCGGCTAGTGGGAGGAGGACGCGGAAAGGAGGATGAAAGGCATAGCGGGTGTGGGTTAAAAGGGTTGGCGGGGTGTGGTGGTAAGCGTTGAGCTTTGGGGTAGAGGGAATGCGCGCCATTTTTCAAAAGGATTGGCTTCGCGCGCAACGAAGCTGAATGGCTGCTCCGAATAGCATCTATTCGAATTCAAACGACCTGATTTTCCCGCGATGCTGAGATCAGCATCGCGGGAAAATCAGGTCGTTTGAATTCAACTAGATCCCATTCGCGCGCTTTTGCGTCCTCATGAAATTTGGATCATGTCGAATCGGCTCATGTCGAATCGGCTCACGTCGAATCGGCTCAAACAAAACTAAACGGATCACACGTGTATTCGTCTATCATAACGCTGCAGCGGATCAAGCAGGACGTCGGCGAGAGATCCTCTCATCGCACGGCTCTTGTTCATCCATCTGCGGGGCAACCGAATACCCCCTCCTTCTCCTCCCTCTTAACGCTTAACAGTTCATTTTGCACAGACTCCCCACCCCGCGCCCGTTACGCGCCGGCGCTTTTCACAAGCATCCTATCGGGGCTGCTGCGTCATACCGGTCACAACTTCTTGATCGAGACTCTCCAGACACCATGGGAGCCTCAGCGATCGACGAGGAGTACATCATCAAGCCAGAGTCGAAAACCCCTGCCCTGGACACCTCAAAATGGCCTCTCCTTCTTAAGAACTACGACGCTCTCAACGTCCGTACTGCCCATTTCACGCCTATCCCGGTGGGCTGCTCGCCGCACAAGCGCCCGCTGCATGACTACGTGCGTTACGGCGTGATCAACTTAGACAAGCCTGCGAACCCGTCTTCGCACGAAGTCGTCGCCTGGATTAAACGTATCCTCAAGGTCGATAAGACGGGCCACTCCGGCACGCTGGATCCAAAAGTTACCGGCTGCCTCATCGTCTGCATCGACCGCTCCACCCGTCTGGTGAAGAGCCAGCAGGGCGCCGGTAAGGAGTATGTCGCCGTCGTGAAGCTGCACGGAAGCCTGGGCGAGAACCCCGTCACGCAGATGAGGAGGGGCGTCGACTTGCTTACCGGCGCCCTGTTCCAGAGGCCCCCGCTTATTTCCGCCGTGAAGAGGCAGCTGAGGATCCGCACCGTGTATCAGAGTAAGCTGTTGGAGTTTGACGATAAGAGGAATCTCGGCGTGTTCTGGGTCAAGTGCGAAGCAGGGACATACATCCGTACCCTCTGCGTGCACCTGGGCTACTTGCTGGGCGTAGGAGGTAACATGCAGGAGCTGCGACGCATTAGGAGTGGCGTCATGGGAGAGGACACGGGTATGTACACCATGCATGACGTTCTAGATGCGCAATGGGTGTACGAGAACAACCGCGACGAGTCATATTTGCGCACGGTCATCAAACCATTGGAGTCCCTCCTCACAGGACACAAACGAGTCGTCGCCAAGGACTCCGCCGTCAACTCGATTTGCTACGGCGCCGTGCTCATGATTCCCGGCTTGCTAAGGTTCGAGGATGGCATCGAGGTTGGTGAGGAAATTGTCATCATGACCACAAAGGGAGAAGCCGTTGCCCTTGCCGTTGCGGAGATGAATACGGCTGTCATGGCAACATGCGATCACGGAAGGATCGCTCGCATCAAGCGCGTCGTCATGGAAAGGGATACGTACCCCAGGAAATGGGGGCTGGGCCCTATGGCATCGAAAAAGAAGGGCCTTGTTCAACAAGGAAAGCTGGACAAGCACGGCCGCCCGAACGAAAGCACACCAAAGGAATGGGGTCAGATGCAACCGGACTTAAGTGTGGCCGCAGCTGTGGCTGCTGTCACATCCCCTGTGAAGGCCGATGCACCAAGTAATGATGCTATGGAAGTCTCCACACCCAAGACGGACGCTGGGGAAGCGACTCCGGGTGATAAGGTCGAGAACGCGACCACACCGGACACGTCCGAAAAGAAGAGAAAGAAGGACAAGTCGGATAAGAAGAAGAAGAAGAAGAAAAAGGAAAAGGATGGTAGCGAGTCGGAGAAGAAAAAGAAGAAGAAGAAGCGAAAGGAAAAGGCAGCGGAGGATTCAGATTAGGACCACGCTTTTCGCGCCCTGCGCAGGGACACTATTGGGTGAGGATTCCACAGCAATAGGGAAGCGCTATTAGTCCTTGAGCTGTATGCCGCCAGACTAATTTTTCTTCCCTGTAGTTGGGGGGCCAGCAAATATATTGTAAAGTGTTTTCTCTTATTCGCGGAACGGCGAGACGCTCGTGACGAAGGTTAACGAGTGTGCGCAAACTGCATTTCAGCCCGTGAGTGGGAAGGAGGCTTCACTGGACGTCAAGATTTTCGTGCGCATTGCAACTATCTTTACATTTTATCTCATCCACGAAACTTATCCCCTGTTTCAACAGACGTAAACTAATCTATCTCCTGTCCCTTTCTGCTCGCTTGGCCTCGAGCTGTCTAGCGTGGGACCATCTCTCAGGTGTGAGCACAGCCTCTCCGAATGACCTAGAGCAACACCGCGCCAATGCCAACCAACTTTGTAGTGTCGCTTGTCCATCCTTTGCCTGCCCGCTCTTCCTTGCTGCAACGTACTCATTCTCCACAGCCTTTGACGCACCTTCTGAGATGTCAAACTCACCCTGCTCTGTCAACAATGCCATGGCTAGCCGCATTTTCCGTAAAAGGTCTTCATTGTAGCTATCCCACTTTTGGAGCTTCAATCCGGTATCGGGCTTGATGCGCACGACGACATCAGCGGGAATAATGGATTTGCTGCCCTTCGACACGAAAACTGGACAACACTGGACAAGGATTTCAGTCTCATAATACTGGAAATCAAGTGGTGCTGTGCACTGCTTCGCGAGTGAGCTCAGAGCGCGAACATTTCTCAACCCACGCTCGGCCAAATGCCCGTTGCTGAGTCTTGTCTCATCCGCAAGAAGCACCGCCCCGCCCGCAAGTTGAAGTGGTGCCGCCTTTAGACGATTCAATGTGTAATCCTTTTTGGGGTACAGCTCCCTGGCGTTCAGGGAAGCGATACTCAGTTCCACCGGGACGACGGCGTTGACGACATTCTCAATTGCTTTGGATAGCTGGGAAGAGAAGTCTGGCTGAGAATCCGATACTTCTTTCGGAACAACAAGATTCAATGACAGTTTCCCAATCGCGTCACCGCCCTCCGTTCTTTGAGCGGGTCGAGAAAGGAGACACATCAGCAAGTACTCAGCTGCGACAGTATCATCGCAAAGCGCTGAAGAGAGATACTTGATGAGCATATCCCGCACTCCGGGCAACACGGCTTTCAACTCTTGTCGAGCCTCGGCCAAGGCTTGTTGCCCACCGTTTGCGACGAGGGCCGCTGTGGCTGGGTTGATTTCCCATTCCTCAGCCCCCCGCATCTGCACGACATGCAGGCGCTTCACGATCTCGGGATTCCTAGCCGCAAACTCTTCAGCGAAGGCGTCATTTCCGCTCGCGACTGGCATAGCTTCCTGCAAGATCCCCACGACTCGAACCAACGTGTTGACTTTGAGTTCTCGTCCAGCCGTAGCGTCGTATAATTTTGCCACTACTGCGAATGCGCCGGCCTGTCCAAGCACGGGATGATTGAGGCCGAGCCCTACAGACCCATTCTTTCCATCTCCTTGCGCAGATGGCCGCGGTCGCTTGTCAGTCGTAGCCTCCGATGAGGATGCGGCTCCGTTAGCGGCGGGAGTTCCCGGGGCCGTCGCTGATGGGGCTTCTTGCATGGACTGGTCTTCCGTTGCATCTCTGTCCTCTCGAGTTCGTTTTGTTCGAGATGAATTGGCTGAAGGGTTTGGCGTGGGGTACAAACAAGATGGGTTGCGTGCCTCTCGAATCCAAGCAGCCTCGCCCGGCGGAGACACCAAGTACACAGGTAAGCGTTCCGAAAGCTTGGCACGCGTGTCGTTGGTTGCCGCTGCGTTCTCGACGAGCAATCCAGAGTCACCTTCTGGAGAGGACGCCACAAACAGCTCGGCATCCCATATATCCTGGACCATGGCTAGGCACTGGGCCCAACGTCCTGGACGCGCTGTTGGGGAGTCGATGAATGGAATAGCGGAAAGAGGTGGTACTTGAAGGGCGGACAGTGCGGAAGACACGGTCGCGCCTGCCTGATGGATTGCATGATGTGATGCAGCCACGGGATCGGGAGTTGCTTCAAAAGAGAGACCGACCATCGTTTCGGAGTGTTTCGCCTCGGTGATTTGGGTGCAGTAGACGTCGGGAGAGCTATCAAGCAGACTACTTGCGCTTAAGAGTGTCGATGGAAGGCGAGAATCGAAGATGAGAAAGTCTGTCGTGAGAGGCGGCTTTTGAAGGTGCTGTTCCCAAGATTAAACGGAGTAAAAAGCGTCCTTCACGATGATGTGTGTACGAGCAGGAGAGGCCTTGAGTATGAACAGAACAATGGCGGGAAAAAAGCTGGCCAATAGGCGCGCATGAAAATGACAGATGGATCAATTCCATTGGTCTTGCGTACTGATCCGAGCAGTGATGTCCATAGCAGGCCCACTCCATGGCCCTTTTTTGTAATATTTGGGTCTTCCATTTTCGCGGGAACTCATCGAGTAGTAGCACCAGACTGTTCCCGCCAAAATGTTCAGCGCCAGCAGCAAAGCGCTTCTCCCTTTTACGCATATTTCTCAAGCACGGGACGGGGGTCCCCGGGGACGGACTCCCGTAGAAACGAGTAAGAACGACTTTCGGGCCCATTGATAGACCACGAGTTATTATTCTGACCTCTGCGAAGAAGACTGGCATAGCACCCGTGTAGCAATCCTCAACACTTCTACTGCTTATCGTTTCTGACATGGCGTCGACGATGAACCGCGGGACGCCCATCGCGACGCAGCAGCAGGAGCTAATGCGTCGCTTTACAACATTTCTGGATGCGGACAATGGCCATGGCGTGTTGGCAGACCGAATTCAGCAAATGGTCCAGGCACCGGACCAGGAGACCCTGGCCTCCAACGACACCCCGAAGCGCCTCATCGTTTCCCTGGACCACCTCCGCGACTTTGACAGTGACCTCGCTCAAGACGTTATCGAACATCCGGTTGACCATCTGCCAGTGTTTGAACGGGCGATGCAAGACCTCATCATGGGTATTCGCCAGGACCTTTCTGCCAGTAAGCGCAGGTTGGCTGACTTCCGCATCGGACTGGACGGCGCATTTGGCTCAAGGCACGTTTCACCAAGAGGCCTGAACGCGGGGCTTGTCGGTGGTGTCGTCAGAGTTGATGGTATTGTCACCAGGGCATCTGTTGTTAGACCAAGGCTTGTTCTTTCGGTGCACTACTGCCCCATCACAAAGAAGTTTCATGAGAAGACATTCAGAGACAACGCAAGCGTCAGTTCTCTGGCTATGTTTACCCAAAATGCAGGGATGCCAGGCAGTTCCTACCCGACCAAAGATGAGGACGGCAACCCACTAGAGACAGAGTTTGGTATGTGCTGGTATCGAGACTCACAGCGTGTCACTATCCAGGAAATGCCTGAGAAGAGTCCCCCTGGTCAGTTGCCGCGGAGCGTCGAAGTCCTCATTGAGAGTGACCTTTGTGATGCATGCAAACCAGGAGATCGAGTCAGCATCAGCGGAATCTTCAGAGCAGTGGGCGGCGCTGCTTCAACAAGCGGGAGCGGCATGTTCTCCACCTTTGTCGTCGCAAACCACATTTCCCTGCTTTCCGGTGTCGAGGGAAGGTCAAGTGTCGACAGCTCCATTCATGCCGACGATATCGGCAACTTCATCGAGTACTCCCAACATGGGCATGTCCTCAGCCGTATGTCCAAGTCAATAGCTCCAAGTATCTGCGGCCACGACTTCATCAAGAAAGCCATACTCCTCTTCCTAATCGGAGGAAAAGAGCGTAATTTGGCAAACGGCACGCATCTTCGCGGTGACCTCAACATTATGATGGTCGGAGACCCGTCGACTGCGAAATCCCAACTGTTGCGTTTTATAATGAATACGGCACCACTTGCCGTATCCACAACTGGTCGAGGGTCTTCCGGGGTCGGTTTGACTGCCGCCGTGACAACCGATCAGGACACGGGCGACCGTCATCTTGAAGCTGGTGCAATGGTACTCGCCGACCGCGGCGTCGTTTGCATCGACGAGTTCGACAAGATGTCTGACGAAGATCGCGTCGCCATTCACGAAGTCATGGAACAACAAACCGTGACGATCGCCAAAGCCGGCATTCACGCAAGCCTGAACGCGCGTTGCTCGGTCGTGGCGGCCGCAAACCCCGTGTACGGCTCCTACGACAAGACGCGACCGCCCAACGAGAACATCGCGCTCCCCGACTCGCTCCTCTCCCGTTTCGATCTCCTCTTCATCGTGCTTGACATCGCGGACAAAGAGCGCGACCGTCAAATCGCAGACCACGTCCTCCGGGGCCACCGGTTCCGCAAGAACACGCACACGCTCGACGAGATGGACGACGGCGCGGGGCCGCGCGGGCGCGGCGCCGGCGGTGCGAACCAAGGCGAGTCGGAGGATGGCCCCACGGCCATGTACGAGACAGCGGCGTCCGGGTTGTACCGAACAAGCACCGACACCGGGTCGCGGCGGCGGTCCGCGCGACAGTCCGCGCGGCAGGCGGCGCGGTCGGAAAACAAAATCCTGTCGCCTAAGTTCCTCAGGCTTTACATTAGCTATGCGAAGCACCGCGTGAACCCGGTGCTATCGCGCGAAGCGTGCGAGCACATTGCGCAGAGCTACCAGTCGCTGCGGCAGAACATGCTGGAGAAGACGCAACACATCACGGCGAGGTGCCTCGAGACGCTGATCCGGCTCGCGACGGCGCACGCGAAGCTGCGGCTCGACAAGCGGCACGTGCTCCGCGAGGACGCAGTGGCCGCGGCCGAGGTATTACGCTTCGCGCTGTTCAACCAGGCAGAGCCCGACAAGTCCGAGAAGGTGTTCCGAAGGCGGTCGCAGCGCGCAAGGAAGGGCGCAGAGGCCGACGGCAGCGACTCAGAGGGAAGCTCAGACGACTCGGATGGGGAGCACGGGGATACGCCGGCGACGGAGACGCAGAACGCGGAGACGCAGAACGCGGAGACAGCAGCGAGCACGGTACGAGAGACAGAGGAGGACGAGGTGGTAGAGGAGGAGGAGGATGAGATCCAGGCGGCGCCGGCAGCCAGGCCGGGGAGCAGGCGGCGCCGGCGCGAGGCGAGCGAAGGAACGGTGATTCAGGAGAGCGAGGAGGCGGAGGGTGGTACGCAGGCGGGGACGCAGGCAGGGCAGGCCGCAGGGGTGGTGGAGGAGGATGTGGCGAAGGTGATGGAGGCGCTGAATGCGCTGAGGGGAAGAGAGAGCATGATCAAGACAGAGGCATTGCTGGAGAAGCTGAGGGGGACGTTGGATGAGGGGAAGGTGCTAGGGGTGTTGGATGTGCTCGGCGAGAGGGATATTGTGGTTGTCGCGGATGGATCTATCTTCATTGTGTAGTTGAAACAGTAAACGTTGCGATGCTTGTCGAAGAACAGTGGCCTAAAAAGAAGCAGGCGGCTCAGGGAAAATGTGGAAGAGCGAAGGGAAGAGGAAGAAAGACGGCAAGAAAGGCGCAAAACGCGGGAAAACGGAAAATTCGAATATCCAACCTAATGTAGCTCGGTCCCCCCTCCCCGTCCTTTTCCTTTCCTCCCCTCCAACCCCACCTCCCCCTCACCCCCTCCCCTTCGACAAACTAATGTCTTCGGAGACGCTCCTCTCCGCGCAGCTCCCCGTAACCATCCTCCCCCCTTCCGCAACCCTCCCCTCCGCCCCGCCAACGACACCGCCCACGCCCTTCTCCGCCACCCTAACCTACAATGCTCTCTCGACCACGCTAACGCTAACCCTCTCCGACCTCTCCACGCGCCTGCTCCTCCTCTCCACCTCTCTCACGCCCTCGACCTACAGGCCCATCCGCTCAGCCCACTCCCTCCGCCTCGACTTCCCCGCCTTCCCCTCGCGTCTAGCCGAGCTGCTGCTCCTCCCCCGCTCTGACCCCTCGTACGCTCTGCAACTCCACCTCCCCGACCGCGACGACGCCGCACCCATCGCGCTTCGCCTGGTGCAGTTCAACGTCTACAAGGCCTTCCTACACATCGAGCTGTCGCTCTCGCGTGCCTCGGAGCCGCAGCTGGTGGCCGCGCTCGCGGCGCGCGCGCGCGAGGCCGAAGCCGCGGTCGCGCGCGCCGAACAAGC